TTTATTTGAAACTAAAAATGTTTGTAACATTGTAAATGTCTTTACTGTCAATTTTGATCAATTTAATGTGTCGTAGCTTAAAAAAAGTATTTGTAAATCAAATTTTCTGACCCTAACTTTTAAATAGTAGTGCACAAAATCCTGCTTAATAAAAGTTTTTTTTTTTTTTAAACGTTACTGACTCCAAACCTTTGAACTGTAAGTGGCTCAGAATATTAAAATGACTACAAAGCAACATAAGAACCACAATCCTTACATATGCACTGGATGTGGACGGCAAGTTGGACAGACACTTTCGTCTCTGCTGACCTCCAGAACTGTGTCTGGAAACCACACGGCTGCTTTACAAGCTGGATATCCCATACATGAAAGAAACATCCTGCACATAAAAAGGGTGATCAAAATAAATGAATAAACTACAATCCATTTCCATTTCAGTTAGATTAACACATGGTGTTGTCTCACCCTCTGCTGTCTTTCTTCTTCTTCAGCACCATGTCACGGTTACACTGAGGACACTTTCGCACTGGTAATGGTATCTCCATTTCTCCCTGCTCCTGTTCGGTAATCTCCTGAGCAGGGCCCAGATAATTTGACAAAGCCTCATCCAATCTGCAGAAAATATGACAAAAACACTCAATTCAAATTTGTATGTAAAATGTAATTGGCAACTACTCAAGAGTACAGCTGGAACAAACAAAAGTAGAGCTGTATATCTTGTTGATCTTTGCAGTATAAGTCAAATTGAAAAGAAGTGATGCTATAGTCAGACTCACTTTTTTGCCTTCCTCACAGACTCAATAAAAACAGCCTTGTATTTTGCCACGTGATAACTGAGGACAGAAGCTTTGTCCTTTCTGCCCTCTGACACAAGTTTAAGGTCCGCCTCCAGCTCCGCTCTCAGGTTTGGTTTAGACATCTCATACCCCATTGAGTTATACCCTGAAACAATGTTGCACTCTATTTCACACAAATCACAGGTATTAAACCATTCTTTGAAGACTTCAATACTACTAATATGCTGATCGCATTACCTTCAACGAGACCCATGCCAAGTTCTCCAGGAAGGAACCTCTGGTCAGCCGTCAACCCCACATACATGCGACTCTTTATGGTCTCAATGTGTTCAGCATGTGTTGCATCAGTACCTGCAGCAACAACTCAAGTTAAGGGTCACATTACTAACTCTTTTTTTTTTTTTATAAATGATGTAAAATATTCAAGGTACAAAGCTGGACTGATAGGTTTCAGTACCAATGCCATGTTTCTCCATTAGCGATATCAAATCGCACGGAGAGAGAAGACGAAGAAAAAATCAAAGAAGAGGAAAAAAAAAAAAAAAAAAAGGAGGCATATAGGCCCCAAATTACTTCTAGTGAAATAGAAGGACAAACTGGTGTGACATAATTTCAAACAAAATCAGGCCAAAAAAAAAAAAAACCTTTGGCCAATATAAATATCCACAATGCTATGATCTAGGGCTGTGCAAAAAATCGAATGCAATTTTCATGCGCATCTCGTCAGTAAAGCCGCTCCTGTGATTAGTAGTAAATCTCCAGCACCTGCTTTCAGATGGAGCGGCAGTTACTACACAGAGCCTTAGTTCACTGACAAACTACACAAAATCGCGTTCAAAATCGCAGGCGATTCATTGACAAGATGCGCATGAAAATCGCAAACTGTTAAAGGGGTCATATGATGCAATTTCAAGTTTTCCTTTCTCTTTGGAGTGTTACAAGCTGTTCGTGAATAGATAAGATCCCTAAAGTTGCAAAGACTAAAGTCTCAAACCCAAAGAGATATTCTTTATAAAAGTTAAGACTCGTCCACGCCCTCCTAAAACGCCTCGTTTAAACACGCCACCACATGTCTACGTTACGATGTGGGAAGATTTGCATAACACCGCCCAAATGTTCACGCAAAGAAAGAAGGTGTAACTTTATTGTTGCTGCCACCGCCACCGCCGCCATGTTGTGAAGACGCTGTGTGTTTTGTTGTAAAAGCGAAAATACTTTGTTTGGTCTTCCAAAAGAGGACACGACTAGAAATCAGTGGTTAAATT